GTTGAAGTGAAGTGAGATGAAAGTCACTCAGTCGTGTCCGACTCTTTGTAGCCCCATGGACTGTTGCCTGCCAGACTCCTCTGTTCATGGAATTCTCCAGGCCAGAATACTAGAGGGGGTAGCTATTCCATTCTCCAGGGGATCTTCTCAACCCAAGGACTGAACCCAAGTCTCCCACATTGCAAGCGGATTCTTTACTCTCTTAGCCAAACTTGTTACGAACAGAGAATGCAGCTTGTATCTGGAATCATTCATTTATTCTTTAAAAAAAACAAACAAACTATATGTGAGGCATTATGCTCCAGGCTGTGAGAGATACAGGAATTATTCAGAGAGGAATACTGATTCCAAGGAGTTTATATGTAGAAATGTGAAACACGGGGCCTGCCCTGACGGTCCAATGGTTAAGACTCTTTGCTTCCACTGCAGGGGGCATGGGTTTGATCCCTTGTCAGGAAATTTTAAAAAAGAGAAAGAAATATGAGAACATGAATAGTTTATGGATACCCATCCATTCACCCATCCATTTTTCCATCCAGTAAACGTCCATTAAGTGTGGGCCACATTCCAAACACAGTACCATGTTAGGAGGGGTGGATGGCACTGAACCATGCAAAGTCTATACCATCAATGTTTAGAATCCAGTAGAGGGAAGAGATGATTATAATACAGCATCCCAATTATTGTTCACATGGGATGCAGTACTAACACTGGGAAAAGCACATAATCCAGATGTCACCTGAAGGGAGGGGATGGACATTCCAGACTGGGGGAGGAGGGCCCAGGATTCAGGCAGTGACTTGCAGTTTGGACGGCTGGCGTCCAATGTATGCTTGAGAAATGAGGCTGATAATTGAGATGCAGGAAGCTCATGAAGGATTTTATGTGCCAGGCTAGGAATTTTCCATTTTATCTCACAGGCCAGTGATTTCAGAATATTTTGATCCCCCATCTCTATCAAAAGTGATCATAAAAATTTAGAAATTATATTATTGTCCATTCTATCAATATATTCATACATTTAAAAGCACATATTATAAAACACACAGGAGAGATGGATTATAAATGATACTGGTGAAATAAACAATACTTTCAAATATTTAAAATTCAATGATAGTGCAAAAATCTTTCAGCTCTCACTATGTTTTGGTGAGAGCAGTGGGTTTGAACATAACCAATTTTTTTTTCATCCTAATAGTTTACGATACAGAAATGCAAAGGTCGGGTTTCAAATTCAGTTTATTTCTGTGTTTGGCTCTGAGGGCCGTCAGAGAGAAATATACATCTTATAAAGACAGGCAGGTCCTGGAGGTGTGTTTGCACCCTTGGCTGTGTTTTCTAAGTCATTTTTGACAAAGCCTTATACAAGGCTTGCCATACATTTTCCTTTTTGAAAAATATTTACAGGAGGGGGGACTGGGATGGGGAATACATGTAAATCCATGGCTAATCCATTTCAATGTATGACAAAAACTACTGTAATGATGTAAAGTAAATAGCCTCCAACTAATAAAAAAAAATAAATAAAAAATATTTACTTATTTGGCTGCTCTGGGTCTTAGTTGCAGCATGCAGGTCTTAGTTGTGGCATATTGGATATAGTTTCCTGACCAGGGACCAAACCCAGGTCCCCTGCATTGGGAACATGGAGTTTTAGCCAGTAGACCACCAAGGAAGTCCCCAATCTTACTTTTTTTTCTCTGATGTTTGTGAGTTATTCATGCAAACTCATTATAAGACAATAGGCTTTTTATATTTTTTTAACAAATGGGTTCAAAGTCTACCATAATTCTGTACTTGGAAAATTTTAAAGTAGATTACTGTAGAGGAGCAAAATTTGCCACCCCAAAATGTGTCTGTTTGGCATGAAGATTATTTTAGGCTGTTATTTTTGTTGGTTTTGTTTTGGGGTTTTTTTTCTTACTGTGCTATGTCTTCGTTGCTAAGCGCAGCTTTTTTCTAGTTGCGGTGAGCAGGGTCTACACTTCATTGTGATGCACAGGCTTCTCATTGCCGTGACTTCTCTGGTTGCAAAGCACAGACTCTAGAGTGCAAGCTCAGTAGCTGTAGTACTCGGGCTTAGCTGCTCTGCGGCATGTGGAATCTTCCCAAACCAGGGATCGAACCCATGTTCCCCGCGTTGGCTGGGGGATTCTTATCCACTGTACCACCAGGGAAGCCCTGGCAGGTGGTTTTTAAGAAACAAAGGCTCAGCAAGAGCTTTTACCTCCTCCTTTTGACTGCCTAAAAGAATTTAAATTGGCCTCATTCCAGGAAGAGACCTGGCCTCAGAGATACTAGAAGGAATAGGAGCTAAACACGTTAAATTGGGGGAAGCTTAGCAAGTCCTGTTTGATCAAATTCTCTGTGTGTCCCATTGTCTTTGCAAAGCCTGGTAAATGTTTACCAAACACTTCTTTCCCATCTTCCTGTAAATTGCTTTCTTCCCTCTTTGAAGTCCCAAACTCCTCTCCCCTTCCCCTGTTGCAGAAACCAAGCACCATACTCAGAGGTTTGGAGAACTCAGGTTTATTACACTGGTGGGCCCAGAGGAGTTAATGCTCCAAGCTCTGAGCCCCGAACAAAGGGATTACAGAGTTTTTATAGACAGACTATAGTGGACAACACCAGCTGTTAATAGGCTGGTTTAAACTAAGAGGTTCCGCGTGCGGGAACAGTGGTCAAAATGGGGAGGGGGATTCCTGGCCTGGACAGGCGTGATTAAGCAGGTTTGCAGGGCTGGGTAATTGCAAAGAGTAGGACAAGGGTGAGTGAGATAAACTCCAGTTCCTAGTATTGCAAGTCCCCACTTTCTGAGACTACGTGACCTACGTGATCTAGACTTTGCAAGGGGCAAGCAGAGTTACAGAGGCAGAAGAAGGAGATTATGTAAAATTTTAACTTTTCCTCTCATCCCTTCTCTCCTCATAGAAGCCTTCACTCCTAACTTATCTTGGGATGTCATTTTTCTTGAGAGGTCCTGGGTGTATGTAATTAAATTTGATTTTTTACTGTTACTCTGTCTCACGTCAATTTAATTTTTAGAACAGTTCGAAGAAACTAGATGGGGAAAGGAAAACTTTTTTCTCCCTGACATTAGTAAATATGCATCTTTGAGAGTTGTTTTGGCCCTGCTACCCAGCTTGCAAGATCTTAGTTCCCTGACCAGGGATCATACTTGGGCCCCGGCAGTGAAAGCCTGCTAACCACTGGACCGCCAAGGAACTCCCTTTCTGAGAATTTTGATAGTTGATATAACTTATGTTTGACAGTCAAGTTCCCAAAGAGAAGGAGACATTTCCGAACTTCCATTTTCAAAATTCTCTCTTCAGAGTGTAAATTTCTCAGGAAAAGCAGTTACTTTCTCCTTCCTCCTTAAATCATCCTCTTCAGTTTGGATAAACAAATTAAGAAAGTTTGGGTTTTTTCCCCAAATATTCACTTTCATGTCAAATAAAAAGGGATAAATCATCTTTATTTTTTATATTAATTTATTTTTTATTGAGGTATAGTTGGTTTACGATATCATAGTAGTTTCAGGTATACAGCAGAGTGATTCAGTATTTTTACAGATTATACTCCATTAGTTGTTATAGGAGAATGGCTATAATTCCATGTACTATGCAATATATCGTTGTTGCTTATCTATATGATCAATGTTGATCATATAAGCTGCCGTAGAGGTAGGTCTTCTTCATTTATTTGTTTCCTTATTTTTGGCTGCAGTAGGTCTTCATTGCTGGGCACGGGCTCTCTCTAGTTGCCGCGAGTGGGGACTGCTCTTTAGTCGCAGCGGGCAGGCTTCTCGTTGTGATGGAGAGAAGCACCGTGGCTTCTCTCGTTGTGGAGCGCTGGCTCTAGGCATGCGGGCTTCAGTTATGGTGCCTTGAGGGCTCTAGAACTCAGCCTCAATAGTTGTGGCCCACGGGCTTCGTTGCCTCACCGCACGTGGAATCTTCCCAGACCAGAGATCAAACCCGTGTCCCCTGAATTGGCAGGCGGATTCTTATCCACTGTACCCATCAAGGAAGTCCAAATTTAAATTTGACAACTTCTTTCAGCATTTTGAAGTAAAATAACCATTGGATTTCTATATGGAAGTGAAGATTTTTCTAGCTCTTCTATCTTAAGTATTATATTCTGTTTGAATTTCTTCCTACCTAAAGGACATCTTTTAACTCTTAAACTGAAGTAGTTGGAAATACTGTGAAAATGAGGAAGGCATGGCTATACCCAGAGGCAGCCCTTGATGGAAGAAATCTATTTTCAAGATGCCTCCCCCATACTTATAAGCAGAGGACAGTCTGACACAGATCCTGTAAGGTCCCTAAGGTCAATCCATATATTGAATTTTGGTAAAGATAAAAACAAAAACTATGGACTGAAGTTGTGTGATTGTCTTCATACATCCCAACAGCTGACCCGGCTCAGCCCTGGGATGTAAGCAAGCTACTCTGGAGACCACTGCTCTAAGGGGTTGGAAGGTCAGCAAAGAGTTTTAGACAAGGAGTGATGGAGTGACAGTCACTTTTGTCTTGTAGATAGATATGTAGAACATGGGCTGAAAGGGGACTCCAGACTGAAGCCTAATGATGACCTGAACTAGAATGCTGGTTTAAGGAATGGAGAGAAGGAAATGGAATAAAAATTAAAATATTTAGGTTGGAAATGGAGTGTTCAATGAAGTGCAGAATCTGTAATCTATCGCAGGTTTGTGCAGTAGTGGGTTGTCTTCCCTGAGAAAGAAGTTATATAGGATGACCAGGTTTGGGAAGAAAGGTGATAAAGACCCTTAGAAGTTCAGATTAAAAATTAGGGGAGTTTGGAGGAGGAAGGGTATCTTTCCAGTTATCAGGAAATCAAAGAAGTCTTCATGGAAGAGGTGGCACATGAATGAGCAAGAGTTAAACGTATGGAGTAAGCAGGACCGAAACTGCCACTAGGGCCAAGATGCCCACTCTGGCCTTTGACATCTGTCTCTTCATTCACTATGTCGTCAGGTATGTGCGATCAAGGACGAAGCACGATGTTGACATGCGGATTGGAATCCACTCAGGCTCGGTGCTATGTGGCGTGTTGGGTCTTCGGAAGTGGCAGTTTGATGTCTGGTCTTGGGATGTGGACATTGCCAACAAACTTGAATCTGGAGGAATCCCCGGGTAAGCCAAAACAAGGCTGTCTCCTCGCTTAACACTTCTCATTGGCTCTCTTTGTGACAGTGGGTTTCCCACGTGCAGAATTCAAAAGTGTATGTCCCAGAAACAATTATTTTGGAGGACACAGAACTTTAAAGCATCATGCAAATATTGGCTCCAAAGTCGTAGTGACATTTGTTATAGGCAGTGAGGACACTCAGGTGTTCTGGACTCAGTCCTGTAAAGCACTGGCTTTCAGATTTGACTTTGCTTTGGAAACAGCACAGGAGCGTTTTAAAAATCCTGTGGTCTCGACCTTGTACCAGTCCGTGTCAGGCAGAATCTGTGCAAAATATCATCTAAGCTCTCAAAGCAATTCTCATGGGCAGCCAGGGTTAAGATTATTGACCTTCTGTATGACCTTAGCCTTCCTTTGAAAACTCAGACATGTCTCTGAACTTTCCATGATTTGACATTGTTTGGCTTTTTCTGCTATTTTAATGTCTGTTATCTCCCCCCCTCTTTTGTAGGATATAACTCAGCTTACTTTTCCTTTCAGTGAGAGAGATAGCCCCCCATTCTAAACCCATGTCAAGTATCTTTTATGCACTAGACAGTCTGCTAAGTATCATGAATACATCATGTCATTTGATTTCGCCATATAGTAAATTGTTGTTTCCTTGTTTTAATGGGGACACTGAGGCTCAAAGAAATGAAATTTGTCACATAAACACAGCTATGAAGGGTCTCCCTAGCCATCACTTTCTCCCATTGTTAATTTGTCAGTCCCGTTTGCTCAAGATTGTCCTTTATTATGACTCTCCGCCCCCTCACTGTGTGTGCAGTGCTGAGTATAATGCAGAGAACATAGGAAGAAGGGAAGGAGGCATACAACTCCATGGCATAATGGTTGATGGTCTGTTCCCTGGAGTCATGCAAAATCCATATGTATTTTGTTAAACCAGAAATAGCTGGGCCCCATCCTCATATTTTCTGATCGACACGTCTGGGATGGGAACAAAGAATGTGCCTCCCTAACAAACTCCCAGGTGATGCTGATGCTGCTGGCCTTGGTACCACCTCAAACCGTGGACCACGGTTGAGGACCACGGTTCTCAACTTTTAGTTAAGTGAAGCAATGTATATAAAGTTCTTTGCTCAGGAACTAATGGTGGTTACAGTTGTAGTAATGACTATGTGATGTAGCTGCGGGTCTTGGAAGGACTCCGAAGGTGAAAGCTGTAATCCCCATCCAGTACTGTCATCTCCCAGTCATAGGACTTTGGTCCAGTTACTTACTCATTGCCTCTCAGCCAGTTTCACTGTCAGCAAAACGAAGGGGTAAAACGCTTTATCACCTACAGTTGTTGGAAGGAATGAAAATTAGATGATTCCTGGAACAAAGCATATAGACTACATTTGGGTACAAAATAACATTTATGCAAAATAAGTTGGAGAAGGCAATGGCAACCCAGTCCGGTACTCTTGCCTGGAAAATCCCAAGGACGGAGGAGCCTGGTAGGCTGCAGTCCTTGGGGTCGCTAAGAGTCGGACACGACTGAGCGACTTCACTTTCACTTTTCACCTTCATGCATTGGAGAAGGAAATGGCAACCCACTCCAGTGTTCTTGCCTGGAGAATCCCAGGGACAGGGGAGCCTGGTGGGCTTCCGTCTATAAAGTCGCACAGAGTCAGACACGACTGAAGCGGCTTAGCAGCAGCAGCAGCAAAATAAGTGTTGCCCCACCTGTTAGAGCTTATTTACCATCATGACTATTATTATTATGTCATGGCATTTAAAATTATCAGAAACTGTCAGATTTACCTAACCAATATATGTGAATATTGTCTGAGAACTGACTCATTTCCTTACGGGGAAATGTAATCACCAGACCTCAGCTGCAAGTATCTTACTCCAAAGCTCCAGATAGTAGCAAGGATGAAAATGAACCCCTGAAATTCCATTTCTATCAAAGCATTTAAATATGGATTAGAATTTCAGCAGAAGGATCATAGTAAATGATGAGAAGGGTGTCTTTCACCATGGGAAACATACTATCGATTTAGGATATGCAAATATTAGCCCCCCTTAGCACTGACCACAGAATGATAAAATACAGAATCCAGAGACAATACCAAATGGGGTTGGTGTGTAACTTGATTATTTTTAAAGAAAATCAGCCATCGGACTTTATAAAACACTTCCAAGAGTTTCATTTTGCCTGCGAGAAAAAGCTTTCAAGCACCCAACTCTGAGGCTGATCTGAGAAAGACTGGGACACCTTTTTATTTCATGGAAGGTGAAACAACTTTTTTATTCTCCTAGGTCAGCACTACTGAGCTGAGTTCCTATATATTAACAAAATTTATCATAAGAATATTTTGTAATTAGTACTTTTCTCTGGAGAGCTCAAAACAGCTTTCACATGCTTTTATTTTTAATATGGGTGTAACTTGGAGATACTGCAAACTGGAGTCTAGACCACTACAATAAAACAAATATCCCAATAAAACAAATCACACAAAGTTTTTAGTTTCCCAGCACAAATGTTATGTTAACACTATACCATAGTTTATTAAGGATGCAATAGCAGTATGTCTAAAAGAATGCACATACCTCAATTGAAAAATACTTTATTGCTAAAAAGATGCTAAGCACCACCTGAGCCTTCAGCAAATTGTAATCTTTTTGCAACAATAACATCAAAGATCACAGATCACCATAACAAATACAATAGTGGACAAGTTTGAAATGTTTCGAAAATTACCAAAACGTGACACAGACATAAAGTGAGTAAAGATTGTTGGACAAATGGCTCTGATAGACTTGCTCAGTGCAAGGTTGCCACAGACCTGCAATTTGTATTTGAAAAGAAACAAATAGCTGTGAAGCAAAATAAAGGGAAGCACACTGAAGTGAAGCCTGCTTCTATTTTACCTCACCTTTGACATCAATGCCTGTGTACAAGAACACTTATTTGCAAAATGTGCAAAATGTACCTTAAATGATCAGAAATGCATTGTTGGCAGTTTCTTTACATGTCTTTGCACTGAATTATTTTCTCTGTTAGAAAGGAGGATGACAGGGAGAAGCAGAGATAGTACTAGGTAAAATGCATTTGGAAAAGTCACTTTAAAAAAATTGTTTGCTTGGATATATTGTTTCTAGAATCCAGAAGCCAAGCAGTCTTAAGTATCTACGTTGTTCATTCATTCATATATTCAAGAGCACTGAAGTCAGCCAAGAGAAATGAATTTGTGCTGGATCAGGAACATGGGGGGAGCATTCTAGGCAAGGAGAATGGCTTGCTCTGAGTTTAGCAGGTGTGAAATAGCACCTTGAATCTGAGGACTTGCCAATTACTTGATCAGCTGGAGAGAGTGTCAGCAAACGAGCCTTGAAGAAGCAGGGTCCACATAGTAAAAGCCTTATAGATCTTGTTCAGAATGTATACTGTGTCCCATAAGCCTTGAGGAGGCATGGAATAAACAGCAGAAATAAAATAGTGCCATTCTAAAGAGTACTTCAAGTGTTTTCTTTTGTAGCACATGTAGTGTGCCACAGATTGTTTTGACTGCTTTACATGAATCAACTCTTGCAATACTCATGATGACCCTAAGAAATGAACACTATTATTTTTCCCATTTTTATGGGTGAGAAAATAGACACCTGGAAAGGTTGAATAACTTGCCCAAGATCTTTCAGCTAGCAAGTGGTAGAGCTAGGGTTTCAATGCAAGCAACCTGGCCAAAGTGTCCCAGCTTGTAAGCAACAAGCAAGTCTGCCCAGACCACAATGCAGCACAATAAGCAGTCAGATTCAGTTAGTGACGAAAGTAGAAAAACTTTTGTCCAGAAGGATTTACCATGTGACATTCCCAAGATTCACATCTGATCTTTAAAGCACTTGATGTCATCTGTTGTTTGGATAAGAAAAGAAACTAGAATCTTGGACTGTGATGGCTGATACGAGTCTGTCACCCTGTGAGTGAGCCTAGCCCGCACATATCCACAGCTTTATTCTCTTCTGCTTTTCACATACACGTTATAGGGGAAATTGCATCTTACAGTGGTTTTCCTAAAGGCCCCTTCCATGTAGCCCCGTGGACTTGTAAGACCTGCCTTTGTTCTTAAGAAGCTTATAGATAAATTGAAGAAATAAGGCACAAATGTGTGAAAATTGAAATGATAGGAAAAGTATGCATTTGTGTAGTAATCTGACAATAACTGCCATTGGGTTCAACAACATTTATGGAACTTGTTTTTCCAAAATAATCAACACAACTGAAAAAAAAAATCACATGTGTTTAAAAGTTGCTGGGATCAGGCTGATGGTCATGAGGGAAAAAAGGAGGTTGCTTAACTGTGGCTCAATGGGGCTGCAGTTTATCAGAGGCTACAGGGTCCCTTGGGGTGAAGTTGGTGATAGATACTCTGCTCATTGATTTATGCTTATATTTCTGTTTTCTTTTATTCTTTTTGCTTTTTTTCAGAGGAACAGATACAGTCCTTGAGGACATGTCCTCCCAGCACCCATGTACAGCCCTGATGTCGGGTTTGCACAAGAACCAAAAACAGAGATGGCCTTTGCAAGCCACGTCAGGTGTATGACAACCTATGCTTTGTCCACACAGGCGGATTCACATTTCCAAAGCCACGCTGGACTGCCTCAACGGTGACTATAACGTGGAAGAGGGTCACGGTAAAGAGAGGAACGAATTCTTGAGGAAGCATAATATAGAGACCTATTTAATTAAGCAGCCTGAGGAGAGTCTGCTGTCTTTGCCCGAAGACATCGTCAAGGAGTCTGTGAGCTCCTCAGACAGGAGAAACAGCGGGGCGACGTTCACAGAGGGATCTTGGAGCCCCGAACTGCCCTTCGATAACATAGTGGGGAAACAGAACGTAAGTCCTGGCCTCCTTCTTCTGGTTTGCTGTGAATGCATGTGCACCTCCAACCCAGATGCCTCAGGGAAACCGATTCATCTTTAACCTTTTCTCCATTGAGCATCTTAATCATAAATGATCAAACATGTATCCTCAGGATGGAATTCACTTATGCAGTCAATTTCAAGAAATGCCAGGAATCCCAGAGGGTTCTCAACACCCTCTTCTTTTTTTTTTTTTTCGACCTAGTTAAAAATAAATGTCATGTGAAGCTGAATTATCAGTTTACCAAAATTAATTCCTCATGTTGGAGAAGATAAACCTCATGTTATGAAACTAGCAACAGAAGAGGAAGGTCAAATCCATGAAAATGTCTTTTTTTTTTTTAGTTAGTTGGCTGGCTCAGAGAACTGAGGTACCCTCTGAAATGTAGAATCAGGGGGTCACTGTTGGTTGGGAAATATAATAGCTGCAAGTGAGGTTAAGATGAGGTCATTCAAGAGTAGCTAGTGATTTCAAAGCCATCAATATGATGCTATTCTTATGTAGTGTGGATTTGCATCTTCTATGAGAGAGAGGATGAGCATCCCTGGTGGCACAGATGGTAAAGAATCCACCTGCAATGCAGGAGACACAGGTTTGATTCCTGGTTCAGGAAGATCCCCTGCAGGAGGGCATGGCAATCTGCTCCAGTATTCTTGTCTGGAAAATCCCAGGGACAGAGGAACCTGGCGGGCTATAGTCCATAGGGTCACAAAGAGTCAGACATGACTGAAGTGATTGAGCAGTGCACGAGTTAGACATAGGGCAACACAGTCAGTACATAAAGTGTAAATGATCAAAGAATCAAATTTTTTTTAAGTATATTTTCAAATACTAGAATCACACTAAACTTATTGAGATGCTCTTACTCTGAGAGGCACCAGAGAACTGAAGTCGATCAAAGGAGAACCGAAGTGGCTTCAGGAATGTTCCACTGCCCAGAGTACTCGGTCAGAGCACGGGCAAAATCACCTGCTCTGATGTGAGTTTCCCTTTATTTAGGCCAGGCACACATAGTTGACCTTGTGTAAATTATGTGAATTCATTGCACTTTTTTAAAGAAACTTACCCAAAAAAGTCCATATATAACTCTTGTTATACAGCTTCTGACATGCTCCTGAGCCAAGGAAAAGCTGAAACTACTATGAAGTAAATAGACCAAATTGATAGTATCTGGAGCTTTGTGAAGACATATAGAAGTTAATTGTTTTAATCCACAGAACTGAACATTTCTCGCTGACTTGTCATTAAGAAAAATCTGTCTGCTTCAAAGGCATGTGAAATAGAAAAGGTTAAAATACTGAAAGTCTTGCCTCTTTCTTCTGCATTTGAAAGACCGACAGGGTGCTCTGAGGCCAGGGTCCCCTCTGTTTCCTTCCAGCTCTGTGTGAAGGAGCTGTGGATCAATGCATGGAACCCATTCCACTGGGCAAAGATGCAGGTTGAACCGTGTCTGCATGCATTGCAAGAGTCAACCCTTAGGTCCTCACTGTTCTTTTGTGAGTGTTTACTTTCCTCCCGAATTATTATGCCCACACAAGTCATCACTGATCTCAATACCTACCTCTTTCCATCCCTGAATTGGTGCGCATGGTACAATTTGCTATTATAGAAAATTACAGTCTTAAATACTTCCTGGAGTTGGTGCATGCCCCGCTGAAAGTACCGTCTGTTTCCTGTCTATTGTTAACTTGAGCCTGAATGCTGGTTATTTTTAAAAAGATGCACACCTCACCCTGAGCACCTCAGTAACTGTGCATAAAGTTGTCTCTCTTGCTTTTTGTTTTTCCTTTTATTTTTGGTCTTTCCTTTTGAAAAACTCCATCCATTTAAGCTGATTGTGGAAATGGGGATAATTTCTGTTAATAATTGTTCTAGTCTCAGTGTGCCTATCCTTGCTACTAAGAATTGAGACCCCAGAAGAGAGGTAGAGATACTTGGTTTTAATTCATGATTGACTGGTCTGGTAGAATTATATAGGAATACTAGAAATATTTCTCTGCTAATTTCCTAATGATCTTAACTAATATCATAAAGATGTCATTGTTAGTCAAAGATTATTATTTTTGGTATTTAACCATACCACATATTTCTTAAGATGCCTGAGTTTTGCCTGTATTTACCATCTTCAGGATGAGTAACCTTAGTTTGTTTTGATGTCCTAAGACAAGAGCCAGTGATATGCTGATAACCAAGTGGTACTAATAACATTTTGGAAACGGTTAAGTCAATTAAAATGGTCACAGGCGCTCAGAGTTTGCTCTTGTGCTTAGCTGTGGAAGTCAGTGAGCCGTATGTGCGGTGCAGGGATGTAGAGTGTGCCTGGAAGAAATCAAGACTGGTCTGGCTGAGCCTGTGCTCTGCCAAATCACCTGGTCAGTACTACAGAAAGCCCAGACCATCCAAGTGTTAGCTTAACACAGACAAAATATACGAATGCTTTATTGGGGGTTTTCTAGCTGAATTGGCCAGATGTTTTAGCTTCTATTGATTCATAAAGTATGCTTTGAAATATTTCTAATGACAGCGGTATGCCATGCTGTAATCGGTGCTATATAGATAGCAGATGTTTGGATAGTTACATTCTCATGTATTCATTCATTCGATAAAGATTAATTGAGCATCGTTTCATGCCGACTACTGCTAGAATAATAGAGAAGGAGGGACAGAGGAAAGAAACTTTAGAGATGAAGTTAGCCAATAGTTTATATGCTTCGGGAAGACAGGGATTGTGTCTGTTTCCCTTATCACTATTGAGTCCACAATCAGAACAATACCTGGCAAATAACAAGACTTGTTTACAGTTTGCTGATTGAATGAATTAAATAATAAATATGGGTAGAAAAGGAGAGGACCCAATCAAGTTTAACTTCCTGGTTTTTTGCTTGGATCTGATGGGATGAATGGTAGATCTGCCCACCGAAATAAGTGATACTGGAATGGAAGGAAACACTGAAAGCCTGGGAGAGGTCCAAGGAGAGATATCCAAAAGACTGTTGAACACACACTTCTGGAGCTTAGGCATAAAAGGACTACACAAGGGATGTCAGTCTGGTAACATTTGAGGATAGATGAAACCATGAGAGTGAAAGAGATCATGCTAAGGAACATGCAAAATGAAACAGTAAGAAAGTATGAGACAGACCTGCAGGAACACCAGATGGAGGTAAAGGAGAGTCAGGATCCCGTGACAGAGACAGAGAGGAAGCAGAGTGATCAGAGCCGATTAGGCAGTGAGGTGTCATGGAAGCCTAAGAGCAGGGCATTTGGAGAAGGATGAGGTGATCAGCAGCGTCCAGTGTAGCCAAAAGGCCCAGTTAAAGGATGACTGAAAATTGCCAATGTGAACTGAATTGGAAAACAACATTGGCAAGAGGCAGATTTGATGCAGTGGTGGATCAGAAGCCAGATTGTCCAAGATGATATGAGAGAGCTCTGGATTTCCAAGACCCCCAACTGCACCCCAGTCCCCTCTCCACTACCCATTTCAGGAGTCCGTCAGTAGTTTACAGGAGCCAGGGAAGTCACTTAGAATTATTTCTGGCCCCATGTGAGTCTTCAGTCCCAATCTATACCTGAAGATAATCTCTTGGTTTAGATGTTATGCATCTTTCCAGCCCCTATATCTGTGCCCCACTGGGCTAAAATTGTTGTTTCAGCCCACTCTTGGACACCCTAAACACTTGTGCTTTTCATCCTTTTCTCTTGACATGGGCAGACATCTTCCCCACTGATTTGGGGTCCTGGCTCCCTGAACCCTGGCTCAGATACCTGTGAGGGTTCCTACACTCCGAGCTTCTGAGTGGAATGAAATTAAGAAAACTAGAAGGCAAGAAACATGATCATACATGGACTATTAAAATGTAAGATTACAAAAGTAGAAGTAGATAGCTGAAGTACACCAAAAGTGTGAACATTTTGACCTCCAGGAGGATGTCCAAGAAGTCTCAAGGCTAGGCTGTTGAGTAAGTCATCAACGTGGTCATTGAGTCTCTCAGAACAGAGACAAAATTTGAGATGAAAATGAAAATGTAAGAAAAGGGTCCTTATACTGAAGATCATATTTTCCCCTGCTGGTTGCATGCTATAACTAAAATCTATTTGTAAGCTTGAGCTCTGGTTCATTCATTTGCTTAACAATCTTAGTCTTTGAGATGCTGAGGATCCCGTAAGGAGAAGACAGACTTGGCCCCCATCTTTCATGAGCTTACATTTTAAGGGAGTAGAGAATGCAGACAATTAGTCAAAACACAAAAGTACTGAGAAGTAAATATAGGTGGATATATGACTAAGAATCAGATAGAATTACTGCAGACTTACTACATCAAGAGTCCTCTGAAAATTTTACATGAGTGTTGAAAGAGCCCTGCATTTGAATGACCTGAAAAAGAACATTATAGATAGAAGGAACAGCCTGTGCAAAGACCCTGGGGTGGGAAAAAATTTGATGTGTTAGAAGAGTAAAAAGGCCCAAGTGACTAGAGCATAGTGAGAGGGGAAGGAAGGAACACAAGATGAAGTTAAAGGAGACAGAGGTTGAGCTTGAAAACCTGGTTGACTTTGAATCTTATTCTAGGGAAGTGATAGAACTGTTTTAAGCTGGCCAGTGACATGATTTGATTTAGATGTTTAAGAGATCATTCCAGCTGCCTGTGGAGAATGGATTGTAGGGAGCAAGAATGGATTCATTAGACAAAGAGCATTTTTACTTATGATTTACAAGAGGATATCAAAGGTTGAAGCTTTTATGTCGCTATAAAGTGCGTTGTGTGAGGATATGAATCATCTTAACTTGGTTGTGTGTATGTGTGTGTTTTATTGGAGTCTAGTGGTTTTACACTACTATGTCAGTGTCAGTTTCTGCTGTACAGAAAAGTGCATTAGCCGTACATATACTTAACTTGGTTTTTATGACAGGTGATATGCCAAGAGAGGTCGAGCTATTCTTTAAGAAGCCAACCCCTTTTTAAAGCCTG